GAGTAGACTGCCAAACCCCAGCCAAGTTTAGTCTTGCATTTTTTATTTTGAAACAGAAGATAGAACTGCTTTGTGTTCATCTGTTCTTTTTCCATTCAAGAAAACCAACAGGTTTTCTGAAAGGCCACAGGGCTCCAGAGCTTTACACCCCCACATCTGCTGAGGATAACAAAATATGTCCACATCCACTGACAGCACCATTAAGATCTTTAGCTTTTTTATTTATTTTATTTTGTTGTTGTTGTTAAGAATATACACCGCAGAATGTACACCAATTCAACAGTTCCTACATGTACAGTTCAGTGACATTGATTACATTCTTCACGTTGTGCAACCATTCTCACCTTCCTTTTCCAGTTGTTCCCCATTAACATAAACTCCCTGCCCCCCAAAGCTTCCTGTCTAACCTTTCAAGTTGCTGTTGATCCCATATAAATAGTTCTTGAAAAGAGCGTGATGTGCAAGGCAGAGGTTAAGCTAAACTATTGTTCGGTTTAAAGAAGACTTCAAGGGATATTTTGGGTTTAAGGTTTAAAGATTATCTTGGGGCAATAGTTTTGGGAGTTCATCCAGCCTCAGTGGCTCCATAAAGTCTGGATTCCGTGAGGATTTTACATTCTATTCTGCATTTTTTCCCCCTTTTGATCAGGATCCTTCTCTAGAATCTGTGATGAAAATGTTCAGTAATCGTTGCCGGGCACCACCCAGTTCTGGCTGGTCTCATGGCAAAGGAGGCCAGTCTTTACCTTTTTAAGTCTTGATACCTATATCCAACACAGTTCCAGAGAGAGAGAGTATTCCTTTTACGTTGATTTTTTCCTCTTGGATAGCAGTTGGGATCTCTGCATAAGTAGATGCTCAAATGTTACTTGCATTTATGAGTTTGCTTTGGAGAGGGAGGACATATAGGCAATTGAAGGGTAGCTTCTTAGAGAAATTTCCACATCTGGTGTTCGTTGGTAGGATGAGTAGGCCTGTTGCACCCTATCCTAATCTTCCCTGCAAGAGTGTGTATTGGGGTGTCTTAATTATGTGGTGCTGCTGTAACACAAATACCACAAGTGGGTGCCTCCAAAGAAGAGAAATTTGTTTTCTTTCAGTTCTGGAGGCTAACAGTCCAAATCAGGGTCTCGGCCGTGTCGATTTCTTCCTTGTCAATAGCCCTGGGGGTTCCTTGGTTCCTTGGCTTATAGGTGATGCTCACATTATTTCTGTGTGTGTGTGTGTGTGTGTGTGCGTGTGTGCGTGTGTGCGTGTGTGCGTGTGTGCGTGTGTGCGTGTGTGTGTGTGTGTGCGTGTGTGCGTGTGTGTGTGTGTGTGTGTGTGTGACCTCATTAGCATAACAGAAGAAAAGCCCTATTTCCAAACAGGATCACATTCACAGGTACAAAGGTCAGGAATTCAACACATACAGAGGGGGGGGGGGGCGGTACACAATTCAATCCATATCATGGAGGATGGAGAAGAGAATTAGAGATGGAATGGTAATGGAAAAAGAGGCAGCAAACCCTTGCCACTAGTGGGGATGCGGTGGATTAATTACTTTTGTGTGTGGCCTTTCTAGCCATGAGCTTGTAGCTCCCACCCAGGTGATTGTGTGATAGGGTAATTGTGGCCTATCCAGGGGATTGGTCAGTTTTGCCTTAAAAGAGAGATAATTCCAGAGCAGAGAAGGAGTCCACCACCAAGGAAGGAGAGATCTGGCAGCAGGAGACAGCACGGTGGGCTTCCCGGCCCACGGAGAGAGAAAGCCAGGTGCCTTTGGGCAGAGACCTAGGGCCAGGGAGAGGTGTGCCTGTGAGCACAGCTGGGGAGAGGCTATCCTGATGGAATAACTGTATCTTGAGTGTTCCTGAGCCTGAATTGTAACTGTTACTTCCCTAATAAACCCCATAATTGTGAGTATGGTCTGTAAGTTCTGGGTGGCCGCTGCAATGAATTACCGAATTCAGTAGAGAGTGCTGTGGGAGGGATAGTTGGTGTCAGAACTGGTAGAGATGGCAGAGAGAGGAGGCGGTGTGTCTGACCTCCACTCCATAGGAATCAGCCTTGGGCTGTTGATCTTGGTACTCCTTCCCTCTTGTGGGGTTGGAGGAGGTCAGACACCGCACCCAAGCCGTTTTTTACAAGGGATCATCTTATTTTGCAATATTTTGCCCTTTTGGAAATTTGATCTGTAAGGCTTAGGTTGAATACATTGTTGGCCCTGGCAGAGGTAGTAATCTCCCATCTTCATCTGGTCTGCCCTCACTCTGTGTTTTACTTAAAGGTCCTGTTCACCTCTAAAATTCTTCTACCCTGTGGTCTTCAAAATGCACTATTTCTTATAGGTAAAGAAGCCTCACTGGTTTGCTTCATCCTCATTCCATTGCTTTTTTAGTGAATAGGATCGGTGTTAAGGAGCCCTGGTGGCTCAAGGGTTAAGCGCTCGACTGCTAATCGGAAGATCAGCAGTTTGAACGCACCCAGAGGCTCTTTGGAAGAAAAGACTTGGTGATCTGCTCCCGTAGAGATTACAGCCTAGAAAACCCCATGGAGCAGTTCTACTCTGTCACATGAGATCACTATGAGTCAGAATCAACTCAACAGCAGCTAACAATACAACATGATTGATGTTTACAATTCATCCACCTCTAGTCTAGACTACTGCGGAAGGCCAGAGGGAGGGGGTTTGGAGTGGTCTGAATCAAAGGGACGGGACTCTCAGGAGTAAAATCAGTTTCACCTCCTTGTATAGATGTGTACGCCGCTCACTGACTATTCACATAATGCAGGAGTGTTGGATGTGCCTACTCTGTGATCATAAAGGAACAGGTCTGTTAGGGATTGAATTGTGTCCCCCAAAAATATGTGTTGTAAATCCTAACCTCTGTGTCTGTGGTTGTAATCCCATTTGGGAGTGGGTTGTCTTTGTCAATGAGAGATAGGATTAGTGTAGGGTGTGTCTTAAATCAATCTCTTTTGAGATGCAAGAGATTGAACAAGCAAGCGAGTAGCAGAAATGAAGGAAGAGAGACGCCAAGCCACGTGAAGATTGCGCAGGAGCAGAAGCTGAAGAGACAAGGGCCTTCCTCCAGAGCCAACAGAGAGAGAAAGCCTTCCCCTAGAGCCGGCACCCTGAGTTCAGACTTCTAGCCTTCTAAACTGTGAGAGAATAAATTTCTGTTGGTTAAAGTCACCCACTTGTGGTATTTCTGTTATAGCAGCACTAGATGACTAAGACAAACACCATCAACCATCTTGACCTAATTGGCATTTATTGAACATTCTACCTAACAATAGCATAAGACACATTATTTCTAAGGGCTCATTAAGTATTCAGCAAGATAGACCACATGCTGGGTTATAATATAAACTTTAACAGCAGAATAAAATGAATAAATGAATACGAAAAATTGTATATTCATCCATTGGAATAAAACACAGCGACAAAAAAATTAACAAATTACTGCTATGTGCAACAACGCAGATAAAATCTCACAGACATTATGTTGACTAGATGGAGTAGATGCAATATTCTTCATACTGTATGATTTCGATTATATGAAGTCCAAGGATGGGCAAATATTATCTCTGGCAGTAGCAGAACACTGGTTACTCCTTAGAGTGAATATCAACTGGGAAAAGGACAAGAGGGAATCTTGTGTGCTGGAAAATTTCCCTAATTTGATCTCAGAGGAGGTTGTATAAGCGTATATCCAGATGTAAAAATTCATTGCGTTGTACACTCAAGATTAGTACACATTATGCACTTTATTATATGGTGCAGTGGTTAAGCGTTTGGCTGCTAACCAAAAGGTCGGCAGTTGGAATCCTCTATCCAATCCTTGGAAACCTTATGGGGCAGTTCTACTCTGTCCTGTAGGGTTGCTATGAGTCAGAATTGACTTGATGGCAACAGGTTTTGTTTTACATATGAGAAAAAAGTAAAACTGTTTATAATTGTAATTTTCAAAGATATTTCATCTTTTACCTACTGGCCCTCAGAAGGACTGGTACCGTCCTGCCTCTCATTCTGGAAGACTCCTCTCTTCAGGGTCCTCAGCACTTGCAGAGGTCAGACTGGGTTCCCAAAGTCTGTACTCTGTGATTAAGGGCACCCTAAAATTTATAATCAAAGGCACTTGGTGTGATCGAGGCTTCTGTCTACAGTACAGGCCTGACTCCATGTTAACTGAAGTTTATCAGGAACCAACTTTTGCTTGCTAGTCTCAGGAAGTGTACTCACAAGATTATTACAAATTATTCCGAGGAAACTTACTGAAATTGTGATTTTCTGTAAAGGGATCAACTAATCAGAAACATGTTAACTCATTGTCATTTCTTCTCACAATCTGTTAGCATGTTTTATAATCATCATCTTTCCTGTAACTTCTATAAATATTTATAGTTTTTACTGTAACGAATTACCATATATCCAAACCAAGGTAGGATTATTACAACATTCGTCAGATTGCCACACTGTTCTTGTTTTCTATGTAGAACTACCCCACGTCTCCCCCCAGCTCCTCAGAATGCTGGTTTCATTTTGTGAGGCTTTGTTTTCACTTTGTGAATTCAGCGTTTCCCCAATTCATGCAGTGTTCTTGTCCTTCAATAAAATCTCTTTTAAAATACTATTTTTACAGATTGATTCTTTAGCCGCTTAGACACCTGCTCCTAGGGAAAGATACCTGATATGCAAGAGACGACAAACTGAAACAGAAGCCAAACTAGAGACTTTGACAATTCTAAAGATGGGGAAATATCCATGAGGAGCCAACAAATTATTTCTCTAAAGAACCTGGTAACATTTTTCCAAATGGCCAAATATGCAGATACTAACTTCCTCTGCTCCCCAAGGGTATCTCTGATTACTGAAATCCGCACTTCAGTTCATATAGCATTTAAGAAAACCTAGGCTTTCCTCTATAGAGGACATAAGGACAGCCACGGGCAGATCCTAAACATAAGCGAGGACAACTGAACCCCGCGGTCACGAGTTAGAGCGCTCTAGGTTCATACACGGAACCCCTCCCCTGAGGCACCAAGCGTCCCAGGAGCCGGAAGCGGAAGTGTACGTCCTCGGGTCAGATCCGCAGAAACGTTTCGTCGCTCTCCTGCTGTGGTGTGAGGTAGGTTTGCTTCTGTCGCCAGACGGCCTGATCCACTAGCGGTGACCCGCAGGCTCCTCCTGTGCGCCCCTGCTCTCTCCGCCTCCCAGGGCCACGGGACTCCCGCCAGCCGGGGCGCCGTCGCCCGCGTCTCCGCTCCCCGCGCAACCCCGGCCGCAGCTGCTTTCTGGAGGCCGAGGAGTGGGGGCCTGTGTCTCTTGTAGTAACAGCTAAAACTCGTGGGAATCCTCGCCGAGCAAACGTGCAGTCTCAGAGCAGCAGCATCAGCCTCACCTGGGAGTGTGTGAGAACTGCGGGGTCTCGGCCCTCATGGTCGCCGGGGTCGTTGGCCAGAGTCTGAACGCCCTGCTCCCACCCTCCGGTCGCTTTTCTTTTCGTTTGTACAGTCCAGCCTCAGCCGGACTCCTCGGCCTCGTCTGTCACCCTCCTTACCACGCGCGCCCACGGCAGTTCGTTGAGCTCGTCGTCAGGCCTCGGTCACCCCCGGCTGTATGTGCTTTACCATTTATTGAGCTGTTTCAGAAGGACTGGGCGCTGTGCTAAGTACATGGCGCACCTCCTTTTATTCACGTTACAACACTGTCAGGTAGGGAGTATTTGCAGCATTTTACAAAAGTAATAGTCTTGGAGAAATTAAATAGCTTGCCCACGGACAAATACCTAGTTAAGTGGCAGCGTCGTAACTCAGATTCAGATCTATTCTTACTTAAAGGGTGTATTGATCACCATTTCCCTGCCTAAAATGGCTCCTCCATTTTCTGTGCTTCATCAGGCAGGACTTTTGTGGAGTATTGCTGGTCATACAAAAACGAAGATTATGGTGAGGAATATGTCCTCCTCCTTTAATGGTTATAGGTATTTAAGACAGATGGAAAACGTGAGTTGGAAGTAGTGCGTACGTTGAGGGCAGTATTTATTCCCGTGCACTTTTGCCCTTAGCTGCCAACCGACTGCTAACCGGAAGGTGGGTGTTTTCAACCCCACCAGGCACTCTGCGGGAGAAAGATGTGGCAGTCTGCTTCCGGAAAGATTTACAGCCTTGGAAACCCTATGGGGCAGTTCAGCTCAACAGCAGTGGGTTTGGTTTTTTGGTTTTATCCCAATTTCAGGAGGAAAATGTTTAGTAAGAGGCATGTTTCAAGGGATTTCTTTGGCCATAAGGCAGAAACATTCATCATGACTGTGTGAGAAACATTAGGGCCAGTCCTAGTTGGTCTAATGTAAAATGTGATGTAGCTGAACAAGCTTAATAGAGGCAAGGAGGGATTTATAGGCATCACACAGCCAGTGTGTGTGATCTGTGCTGCATTGGATGCGAGTGATTGAACCACAGTTTTTGCTACCAGAGAACCACACTTATTAAAAGGTTGAAGGCTTAGTATTCCTAATGTCGGAACAGTGAATCTTAGGAATGAGGGCAAAATGGAAGGCATGTATAATGAAACTTTTGTTTATACTTCAGGGTAATCCTAGAGGATCAGCCACATTACAGTGTTGCAAAAAGTACCTCATCTTTTGTAATAATTATTTCACAAAGTAGAAATCAAGTAGGGAGTCCTTGGGTGGAGGAAAAGGCTAAGATTACTAGCTGAAAGATTGGCGGTTTGACCTACCATGAAGTGCCTTGGAAGACAGGCCTGGCGATCTGCTTCCAAAAGATCACAGCGTTGAAAACCCTATGGAGCAAACTTTAAGCATCTAAATTTAAGTGCCCTGTTTGAGAAACTCCAGTGCCATTGGCATAATGTGTTTTTTTTTTTTTTCTTTTCCCACTACTTAGGATGATAATTCATGTGAATTTTTTTTATGGTGGAAGCAGTCCTGTTTTTTGTTTGTTCGTTTTTCCTTCATGTTAATAACAAAATGATCCAGACCCAATTACCTTTAAAAGTCCGTTCTTTATGCACTGCCGTTCCTCAAATGTGATTTTATTTCTCTAAGTTAGTACAGCCTACAGTTGACATTTTAATCTTTGAAATGTCCCCGTTCCTCTCTGTATCCCTGTACCAAAAAAACCCCATTGCCATCAAGTTGATTCCGACTCATAGTAACCCTGTATGACAGAATAGAACTGCCCCGTAGGGTTTCCAAGGAGTGGACGGTGAATTTGAACTGCCTCCCTTATGGTTAGCAGCCAAGCTGATAACCCCCGTGCCACCAGGGCTTCTATAGGATGTAAATTTTCCTCCTTTTATTTATACAGTCAGACTAAGAAACTAAACTTTTTTTAAACGCGTGTGTTGACGTATAAGGGACAAAGTCACAAAGGTGAACCCACAACTTCAACATTATTGGACCCCTGAGGAAATCAGGTTCATGTTTTGCACCCTGGCCAGGACTGGTTGCGTCTCATGCTCTGGGATAAGTAAATCCCGCCATCTGTGATCTTGGCAGAAAGAAGAGGCCCGTGGAGCTCCATGAAGAATGCAGGTGTGTGCTCTGGAGGCTGGAGCCTGTTCTGCCTTCAGTGTAAATGCCTCAGGGTGGAGCATTGCCCTGCGCCTGGGAGGAAGCCAGAAACCTATCACTCCCTGCTTACTCAGTACTGTTTTTTCCTCTTCCTTCTTCCATTCAGGTCTCAAGTGCAGTGCAGGAAGAACTAGTGTAGTCCAGGCAGCTGGGGACCTAGCACTACAGTCTTGCACATCTGTAAATCAAATCACAAGGAAGGATTTCAGCTGCTCCGACTGGTGTGTGGACCAAACATTATTCATCTACTTCCAGACTGGTCAGTGCTCTGCTTCTAGTCCCATCCCTCTTCCTGAAGTGGCTTCTTGGGCTCAAAGACTATATTCCCTTAGACCTCCAGAAGGTGGAGCAAGGAAATGGTGAGTTCTATGGAGAGTTGGACTGTTCTTACCATAAGTGGGTGAGGCTGGATATGAGACGTTGTGGGAGTAGCTGTGTGCTGCGAGACTGTGTTTCCTCAGTGAAGAAAAAAGGTGGCAGAGGAGGCCATGGGACTGAGCCCTAGGAGGCACCCTGCGGCCCTGCTCCACTGTCACTGGGCCCTTCCTCTGTGTGCATTTGTCTTTTCAGGATTTGGATGCCTGGTGTCACCTTCCTTATGTGACTCTCAGAGCCAGCACCATGGGGTGTTAAATCCCCACCCTGGGCCTTGGTGCTCTGTATTGAATGGCAGAGTCTCCTGACTAGAGTCTGAAGATGGAGCAGCTCTGGCTGTTGGGGCTGAGCCCCGCCCTCCAGAGCTATCCTTGTCCCATCTCTCTGAGCAATGTTCTTGATTCCCCCCAGGCACTGGAGCATTTTCTGTGCAGTTCTAAAACTACAGCTCCCCCTCTCACACTGTTACGCGTTAGAAAACGGGGGGAGAGTTCATAGGTGAAGGCCCTGTCTGTTATGGGATCCGGGGTGATGTTGGTGTTCTCCTGACGTCACCAAAGGTATGAAGCTGGGGACGGTGAGTCCAGCTGGATCCTGTGTGGGGTCTCCAGACCCAGTTTTTTTCCCCCAGTGGGGAAGGCTTTTGCCTTGATGCTTTCAGGTGTGTGGAAAGCATGACTCCCCAGTCTAGGTCCTTGTCCTCCCCCCTATGCCTGGAGCTGGTATTTAATCCCTGTAATTTTTGACTGTTCTCCATAGTCTTGAATTAGAATCTAAAATTAAAGTGTCCTCTTTGGCTAGAGAAGCCCAATATATGAGATGTGTATATTTAAGTTCTTGGGTGTACAGTTTCCACTGGAAGAAAATTTCTATATCATTTGGTGTGTTTCTACTGAGATTTTTTAAATTTAATGGATACATACTTATCAAATGCAGAGTAATACCTGTTTTATCTGATGTAAAAGTTACTCTTAAGGAAAAAAAAAAAACACCAAACCCACTGCCGTTGAGTCGATTCCGACTCATAGCGTCTTAAGGTTCTTAAAGACTCCTATTACATTTGACAAGTCATGCCAGAACCCCTAATGTGTTAAACATTTTAGCCATTTTAGAAACATTTTCCTGGCTGAGATAAAATGTATATGCAGACTCCTGATATCCCTGGTTCCTGGGTTTAGAAGGAGAGCTTGAATTTATACTTTTGTGATTTGTACAAGTGTGTTAGACTGTTTATTAACAATTGGGTCCTAAACAATTAAATTTTAAATGGGCTTATTATTTCAAATGTAAATTCCTAGTAAAAACACTTAATATCTCATTTGATTTAAACGTTTTAAAGTATAATATTGTTTACTGAAATTGTGTTTTTCCAATAGTTAATACCTTCAAGGTTCGAAACAATATGAAACTTTAAAAGCATACTTTATGAAGACTTGTTCCTACTCTTGTCTTCATCTAGCCCATCCCTCTTCCCCCAGCTTCCTTTAAATAACCAGCTTTATTACTTTCTGAAGCATCTTGCCAGTGTTTATGTAAAAGCAAGCAAATGGAATTTTTTTTTATTTCCTCCAGTTTGTTGAACAAAAGATAGCATGGAATTTACGCTTACTTTTTAATGAACACATTATCTTGATGATCTTTTCATAACAATACATGCCTAAACCCGTTGCCGTGGAGTCGATTCCAACTCATAGCAACTCTACAGGATGCAGTAGAACTGCCCCATAGGGTTTCCAAGGAGCAGCTGGTGGATTTGAACTGCCGACCTTTTGGTTAGCACCCAAGCTCTTAACCACTGTGCCCCAGGACTCCAACAGTACATAGAGAGCTTAAGTCTAAATTCGTACAAAACTCCAGAATACTACATATGATTGACCTTAGTTTTTTGTTGTTGTTTTTAACTATATCGCCATGAATGGACACTTGGATTGTGGCCGTTATTTTGCTTTTACAACTCTTGTTCTAGTAAATGTAAATTTCTGAGATCCAGGTAGCCATAGTTTAGGTATAAAAGCCCTTCAGAACTAAGATACGTAAAATCAAAATGAAGGAGTTTCATAATTGATATATGAAAAGTACATTTCTTTTGTGTTTTAAATAATGCTTTAAACTTCCTGTTGTCAACTCTGTCATAAACAAGGAGTGCATAAACTTATCTTGTATAATTTAAATAGTAATCTGAGTCGCTGATAATAAATAGACCTTGGTCAGTTTTTGTGGCCTCCCCGTGTGTCTCTCCCTGATCGTGTCTCCTCCTGCCTGGAGATTGTTGTTATCTGTATTTAGAAGTTTATGACTGTTAGCTATTATTACAGCCTTATCACCCAAGTCTTAATCTATAAACTCTATATTGTTTAGTTTCACCTCTTTTGAGCTTTCTGTAAATTCAGTTGTTACTCTCTGGTTCCTCAGTGACTTGTTTCCTCAGGATGCTTTTGCGTTCCATACATGTTGGTGTCATAGCTGTTGTCTACCCATGTGCCTATGTGTGTATGTTTCCATTGTATGAATGGGCCATAATCTGCCTACCCATTGTAGAACTTCAGGATTTGGGTGGTTCAAGTGTAATTTTCGCTCTTGTTCGACTTGCTATTCTTCTGTTCATTCTCTTTCCAGGCTCCTAGTGCTCCTGAACAATTACTGTGCAGTGAGGGAATATGGCTAAGTTGTAGACCATAGCGATGTTCAAATTTAGTAGGAAATACTGATACATTTTACAGCTTTTTTCTTCTACAAAGTATATATACATTTTATTTGTTCCATCTGCTTATCTAATTAATTTGTGCTCTTGTGAAGAGTGTGAATGGTATCTTACTTTCATTTTATTCTGTAATTACCTTACACTACTCCACTACTGACAAGGATGTGCATATTTTCCCACTGTTATCTTATATTTCTATGACTTTTAGATCTTCTTTACGTACTGTGATGGTTAGTGTTATGTGTCAACTTACATAGGCCACGATTCCCAGTATTATCCTGTATTTTGTGATCTAATGTAATTGTGCTCCATTTTGTGATATTATATAATTATCCTCCATTTTTTTGTGTTGTAAATCCTGACCTCTGTGTGTTAACGAGGCAGGATTAGGGTGGGATGTATCTAGAGTTTCACTCTTACAAGAAGGTATGACTCAGGTCACACCCTTACTCAGGTCATAGCCTTGATCTGATGTAAGGGGAGTTTCTCTGGGATATGACCTGCATCCAGTATATATGGATGTTTCGGCAAAGCTCACTTGCTCTTGATCCTGTATCTGACTCCTCATCATCTGACCTCTGATTCTTGGAACATAAGCCAGCAACTGCTGCCTGACCTGCAGATTTTGAGATTTCCAGCTCCCGTATCCTTGTGAGCCAGCAGCCTGCCGTCTGACCTGCTGATTTGGGTTCGTCAGCCCCTGCAGCTGCATGAGTCAGGAGAACCCTTCAGCCTGATGCCTGACCCACAGACTTGGGAACTGCCAGCCTCTACGACTGTGTGAGCTGTTTTCTAGAGATAAATCTGAGTATCTATCAATCAGTCTCTCTCTGTGTATATGTACACACACACACACACACACACACACACACACACACACACATACGCTTCACTGGTTTTGCTTCTCTAAAGAACCCAGTCTAAGACACAAACTTTGGGAATTTTTCTCCTGGTGTGTAACTTATCGTTTCAGTCACTTTAAGAATTTTTTCCTTTATTCTGATGTCCTAAGGTCATTTGCTTATAACTTTTGAAAGTATTGTAATTTTACTTCTTTGTATTTGAAACTAATCTGCCTGGAATTGATTTTTTTGCATATGGAGTACATGGAAATAGATTAATTAGTCCTGTTAAATAATTAGTTGATTTTAATAAAAAGCTAGTTGCCGTAGAGTCAATTCTGAGTCATGGTTACACTTTGTGTTTCAAAGTAAAATTGCACTCTAGGGTTTTCAGGCTGATTTTTCTGGAAGTAGATCGTCAGACCTTTCTTCGGAGGTGCCTGTGGGTGAACTGAAACCACAAACCTTTCAGTTAGTAGAAGAGCACTTAACCCTTTGTGCCAGTTGACACTACCCCATATATTGAAGTGTATGTGTCGTGAATCAACCTTATATAAATTGGCGGGCCTTTTCCAGGGCTGTTTGTTTTTTTCCGTTGGTCTATTTGTGTATTCCTATACACCCTCTCCTCACTTATCGACATGGTAGATCCCAAAGACCTAGTTGTTATGTGAAGTTAGTGTAAGTGAAAATGGAGGATGACTGCATTATTACATAACTGCCGAACTACATCATTACATAACTGCCAAACCATGGGAATCATGGCCCAGCCAAGTTGACACATAACCATCAAAGCTAGAGTTACTGTCACCTTGGTGTTCATAACTGCCAAACATACACTGTTAATGTGCAAAATAGATAGTAGTTTTTTACTATTGTAATAAATGCAATATGTTGGATAACAAGATAGTCGATAAGTGAGAAGATGTACTAATACTACAGTAATCTATGATAGCTTTATTTATAAAGTAGATATATAAAAGTATAATTATACATATGACATGTTTGGACAAGCCCCCATGCCATTCTCCTTAGAACATGTTGACTATTCATGGAAGTTTGCACTTCCAAGTATATTTTTAATGTATTTTTTGTGGAGTTCTAAAAAATAATTAAATTGCTTGGAATTTTATGAAAGGACATTGGAAATAATGATCTATCTGGGGAGAACAGTTTTCTAAGAGCATGTACTACCTTTTTATTTATTTCAGTCTATTTAGATATCATTTAATAATGTCTTATAATTTTTTCATTAGGATCTTTACTTAATTACACTCCTTTTAGGTACCTTTTGTTTTTACTAAAATGCATGTTATTTTTTAAAAGTTAATTTCTCAACTAGTGAAATTAGTTGGTACTAGTATATATAAATAAAATAAGTAAACCTTTTTTTGATATTTATTTTATAATCTGAATACTTGCTAAAATCTCTCAGCTCTAT